TGTGGCTAGAGGTCCCCGGTAGGAATATTCACAGCAAAGCACTTGTCGGAGTTATGTATAGATCTATCCGCATGCTTTCTACGGCAAAGTGGTTGGAAAGTCTAGAGTCCCTGCTTAGTCAACTAAATGTCGCATGGGATGGAATGCTTATCCTAACTGGAGACATGAACATTGACATGCTTCAAGCTGAAAATAGTTTAACAAAACAATACCAATGCATCTTGGATGTTTTTGGTCTTCATCAAGTTATAGAAAAACCCACACGTGTTACGAAATCCTCTAAAACATTGATAGACCATCTTATTACTAACTTCCCACAAAGGATTGCTAACACTGGCATTATTCCCTGCTCAATTGTCAGCGATCATGATGGCATTTACGCAAGTATTAATGTACAAGTCCCCAGGTTTGAAGCACGGCACAAATATATACGGGATATTAAGTTTCTAAATGAAAGTTTATTTATTGAGGATTTCTCTACTTTACCTTTGTCTGTCATAGCTTATTCTGATGACCCAGACGAACAACTAGAATCCCTAAACTCCCTGTTCGTTGAGTGTTTAGAAAGGCATGCACCCTTGAGAAGAGTTCGAGTGACACGTCCCCCGGCTCCATGGATGAAGTCTGCCAATATCCAAACTCTTCAAAAAGAAAGAGATCATTTAAGACATAAAGCTCATAAAAGCAACGCTGATAACGGTGTATGGACCGCTTTTCGACTTGTTAGAAACAACTTAAAGCCTGCAATAAGATCAGCACGGGAGGCATTCATCGAAAAAGCACTGTCTTCTAACAAATCACGCGATATATGGAGAGTTATCCACTTGAGGCCTCTGCTGTGTCTTTGAGTGACCTGACAAGCCTAACAGACAATCTGCCTGAACAGAGTTCTAATGGCGATCAATTTAATCTGAAACCTGTCACCCAAGAGATCTTTGGCGATCAATTTAATCTGAAACCTGTCACCCAAGAGGATGTCTTCAAATGTATATGTGCATTACGCTCAGATTGTTCCACTGGTGTTGATAATATTCCAGCCAGATTCGTCAAGTTGGTCGCTGAACATCTTGCCTGTCCTCTAACTAGCATAATAAACAAATGCATTAGCAATGCATATTTCCCAAAGCTGTGGAAAATAGCCAGAGTCTCCCCAATTCCTAAAGTAGAAAACCCAACATCCAATGACCAGCTACGGCCAATCTCAATACTCCCAGTGTTATCAAAGGTGTTTGAGAAATTTGTTGCTGGACAAATGTCAGAATTCGCAGAGAGAGCTGCGCTGCTACCTGATCGCATTTCAGGTTTCCGAAAGGGACATTCGACAACAAGCGTCCTTTTGGGGATACGAGACGATATCCGTCATGCTATGAAAAAAGGGGAAATTACCTTGATGGTCCTAGCAGACTTTGGCAAAGCATTTGACACTATTTGTTTTAAAAGCACCATTGAAAAGTTTTATAAGTTGGGCTTCTCAAAGGCCTTCCTGAAGTGGTTGCTGAGCTATTTATCTGGTCGTTCCCAGTTTGTGCAGATAGACGAGAAATCTTCTTCTCGTAAACCAATACATTTTGGAATTCCTCAAGGATCGATCCTGGGGCCATTGATTCTTAACCTCTACGTTGCTGACTTGAATGATGTCATTTCTTCTCATACCAACTGTTCTCAGTATGCAGACGATACAACCTTGTATAATCATTGCAAAGTGGCAGATCTCACGACTGGGGAAACGAGCATGAATAAAACCCTCACTAAACTTAGCAATTGGTCACAAGGATCGAATCTGGCACTTAATCCTGCTAGTTTTGTGACTGGACGTTATGTAAATAGTATTGAATCGATTTTAAAATTGGGTTGGTTACCCATGCGAGAACGAAGGGACTGGCATATTCTTAAAGCCGCACATAAGGCGTTATATAGTAGCGATTGGCCTCTCTATGTTAGCCTTGAAAGGTCTGAACACACACATGTTTTACGGTCTAATGCTCAAGTCAATTTAGTTATACCTTTAGTTTCTAATACCTTTCAAGATTGTTCAGCTTCATTATTTAATTCTCTACCAGCTGATGTAAAATCATGCACAGATCATAGAGACTTCTCCAGACAAACTTTTAATATTTTAAAGCAACGCTGTCTCACTATTTAATTGTAATGCTTAGGTCTAGGTTTGCAACTTTCTTACTATTTCCTTAGATATTGTAGTAGTAGTTTTATCAGGTGAAGAACCATTGTATGGAAATACTGATAATAAATCATTATTATATTATTATTATTATTATTATTACTTTGAGTGGCGGTAAAGAGCCAACACCTCTCCATATTATGGTTGCTTAAGGAATCCATAGTCTAACAAGATATTTGTGCCAGCTACAACACCGTCAGGAGAATCGATGTTGATATCGCAGAACGGATTACCACTACAGCAGGTGACAACAGAGTGCCAATTCCCACTGTTCTTCAAGCAACAAGTCCACTGAATGGAGCAATGGATAATTTTGACCGCAACGAAAGCACACTTGCTGGCACAGGCTCTACACATGACACTATCACTATTTGCCAAAATGTTCCAGTCAATGAAGAAAAATCATCCAAGGGAAGTGAAATCTCGACAAGACTACCTGTTTCTCAAGATCGGATTTCAGTCAGGCTACGATCAAAGGTGAAGTGTCAGGAACTTATCTGGATGGGACCAATGAAACAGAGGAGAGATAGACTTATCAGCACAAGATACATTCACTGTGGTAACATCGAATGGTGAACCTAATTCTTCAACCTTAGACGAATGTCCTGTTGGAAACGTATCAATTGCTAGTGGCACTAATACAACTGAGACGGTTACAACTACACCAGAAGCTGACGCACATTTAACAACAAGCTCAATAACAGATGCAAGCGGCATTCCATCCATAAAATCAATCAGTTTGGACTATTTTCTGTGGCTTGTTAATCGATTATCCAAAAGGATAATCGAGGAAGACATCCAAGATTACCTAAAAGGAAAAGCACGGCAATCCCAGTCATTTGCTTATTGGTGTAGGTATGTTTTTGAGCTTTTTTGAATAGCAAGAGATCTTACAAATTCAATGCGTTCTGGTGACTGGATACTTTATCTTAGCGCTGTTGAGAGAGCAACCTAGCTGTTTTTCTTTTCTGGACGGACACCTTTATTCCTGCAGGATTGTTATCAATTAAAAGATAAGTTTCTACTTCTGCACAAGCTCATACATGAATGGCGGATTTGTTGTAAATACCAACAGAACAGGCAGTGGGGTTCGGTTTGACCAAGCTCTGGAGCAAAGCTACAACCGACCTGCTAAAGTTAGCAGAGGTATAATCGGTTTTACTAGAAAGAAAGACGCTGTGGCTTTGTGGGGTATCATCAAACACAAGAAAGATGAATACGTTCACCTTTTTAAGATGCAAGATGGTGTAGATGGAGAACTGTTTGTTCATCACAATTTTAACCAGAGTAGTGCAAAGAAGATAAAAGAGTTGGTGCAAGACTTTGAAGAATGTCCTTACAAGAGAGATTGTATCCAAAGTAGACTTGAGCAAGCTGTTGTGCTGTACTAAGATGGTTGGTTGTGCTTTTATTGAATTTGTTGAAAATCGTATACAAGACAAAAAAGTTTCCATACACTCCACAATAACATCCTTGGATGATACAGATGTTTTCGTATGCCTCTTGTACCACTTTGTTGTCAACTGGGAACATCTTGGTCTTATACGCCATACTGGCCTGAAATGTTCAATATTGCCACTGACACAAATAAGCCTCACGCTTGGGGAAGAGTTAATATGTGTCTTCATGCACTAACTGGATGCGATACAACCAGCAAGATAGCGATGAAATTAGCAGCTCTCAACGCTATTCACATTCCAACAAACCTCCCACTCCTCTTAAATGTTAATTGCCCACAACTGACAGACAACGCGATACAATTGGCAGAAATGTTTTTTGGTTAAGTACCTTAAACCATCTACCCACTTGGAAACATTTGATGAGCTGTGCATCAATACATTTGACAACATTGCCTTGAAATTAGACTTCGAAAAAACTGCATGCACAAACATGAATATTGGGACACATATCCAAAGAAGTTATCAAATGCAGCTGTGGGATCCAAGCCCCATTTAAAGATGCAACAACGCTTCTAAATTCTGAAGATTATGGCTTTAAAAGAAAAAACAACACTTTAATTGTTCCCAAAATTGTCATCATAAAACCTGAGGGCCTTTTGGATCCATGCAAGTGTGGTAAATGTCCTTGTAAGAATGCATGTCCCTGCAGAGTGGCTGGAGTTAGCTGTTGTAAATATTGTAAATCGTCACGTTACTAACTTTTTTTGCCTAAGTCAAATTTTGTCAATTTTGAGATTTTTGCCTAAGTATGTTCTCTAGCTAGCTTACCTGCAAGCCCTACATTTACGGCCTAAGTCAATTGGCCAATCAAATTGCTTGTAGTTGACAATGTAATATTTTTGCCTAACTCAACACGTGACATAGGCAATTTTACCAAGATGGCGAATGAGAGTGGAGATGGTTTTTCCTTGCCTTTTTTTCGATGTTTTAGCGGCTGTAACTTCGAATGACAGTGGTAAGTTATTTGTAATTATAAAAAGTATTGTATTTTCATAATACTTTAGGGACAATATAGTTGTTTAATTCCGTTTTAAGGACAAATTTTGTTGTGATATTGTCGTTTGTTATGGCTATATTATACCTATATAAATTGTTACTGACTGTATTAGTGTATAGATGGGTCAAGTTTCTTTATTAATTTCATTTAATTTCGTAAATTTACGAGTTTACCAGTATATCATCATCATTATAATAAATTATTTTAATGTGAGGGGAATCAAATTTTATTACTTTGTGCACGACAAAAGAGATTAAAATCAATGCTGTCTGAATACTAGGTAGGCCTACATAAATTTGATAACTTAAAAATGTGTGGAATTTCTCTGGCTTTAGTACACAATATATACCAAGACCGGCTTTTTTTGCTATGCTTAAATTTTGGCATTAACATCATTTTCTTGACAGCGTGTGAGAGCTAAAACATAAAATAATCAATTTAAGCAAAGCTATAAATTGCGGTTAATGGAGTAATATGTTCTGAAGGCTCTATCTGCCCGAGGGTGTTTTCAGTCTGCCAACGCATCTGCGTCACAGATGCATGCAGTGTTCCAGAACCAGAATGTTGCCGCTTGCAATCCACGTTCTGTGACCTCAAACGGAGTGAGTTCGTTCCATATTGTTTATATACTTCTTTAATATAACGTTCTTGAATTTACTGCTATATTACACTATTAATATATAACTTTATCTCGCTCTTTTGCTGTCCAACACGAGTCACAATTTGTATTGTATTAGTACGCTATGCATTCGCGCCTACTCAAGGGTACGTACTATCCTATTTAATACCTCCAGTTGCATGCTATTGCTACTTTGTTTAATTTAATACCATACAAACAAGACACGTAATTAACTGCATATTTAGATTAATATTGTATGCGAACTTGTGTCGCATCCGCTATTCGTTCAGGCGGGAACTATTTTGGAATATCTTAGGCTAGATATGTTATAACAGCTGTAATACAGCCTTATTGTACTGCTACTTTATACACACGAGTCACGATTCATAATGCACTGTTTGCTGCATTTCACTTAATTTCCTGTGCACAAGTCTTAACACAGTTCTATAGCTATTATTGATACTTTGTATCATGCCAGTCGTACGAACAACATGTATTCAACTACAAAACATTACACCCAGTACAAAGACGTGGTTTTTCTTGTCATATGAGGATGGTTTGTCATAATATAAGGACGGTTTTATTATCCTAGTTGCAAGGACGGTTTATCCTAGTTATAAGGACGGTTTATCCTAGTTGAAATGATTGAGATGTTCATATATAAACCGACCTCACTAGATCCCAACTAGAAAGGTTATGCTGTAGCAAGTTAAATGTTTCTTTTCGCAGATGTATATTTTGTTACACTATAAACCATACATATACCATGGCTTACACACGGCTTTATTTTATCTTTCCTTAAATTCAAGCCACACATGGCTGTGTATTTACTAAGAACTATGGTGCTATTGTGACTTGTGAGTCGAATAACTCGAAAAACTGCATCTGCGTCACATCACGAGCTATGTATAATAAGATTACTCAGTTATTTCTCATTAATCTCGCCGGGGAAAATCCCGCACTTATGGAGTGTCATATAACCAATTTGCGCAATAGTTTTACCATACACATATCATATACACGGCGTATATATAAACACGTCATTTTAGTTGACCTGCATCTGGGAACGAAGGCGGACTTATGGCCTCATTAATATCATTATCGAGACGTAAGCATGAGCAAAATTGCTGAATCTTACTGGCTGCCGCTTTTAAATTTGCATGCTTAGGCAAAATACTTGGTGTTGTTAATATTGAGTGTGACTGAACGGGACTAAATCCTGAATAAATTAAAAATGTCGATACACGCATGTTTAATGCGGGTCTTTCAAACTTGAAACTTATAGCTTGATCGATCGTATAGCGAATAGTTATACTAATATGCTCGCATACGCAACTATTTCTCGTGGCAAGATTCGAAGAGAAGATGGGTTCCCCACGCTCTTCTCAGATATAAAAAGAAGTGTGACTGAATGACTTCATGCATGTATACAGTTTATTAGTTGATGTTTTGCAGACCTCGGTCAGTCATCAGGTCACAACTCGCAAGCCAGAAAGGAATTCATACATCTCGTAAATCCGCAATATTCTTTATATGAATAGGGCAATGTACATTGAAGTGGAAATATTTCCACTATCAAAATCGTTTGCCTTTAATAATAATTGCTTTACTGGCTATAATTATACTGCCATTGGATTGCACATAGGTAATAATACTAACGACTTACAATGTCATCGCATCCATATTTAAAAGTGCCAAAGACAAAGTCACAATAACGGCGTACTATTTGTAATTGTAGACTAGCTGGCAATAATACAATTTGCCTGAAGATATCTGTCAATAGGAGATTAGTTCTGCACTTTAAACACCTCTAAAAAGAAACGCAGTTGTGTTTCGGTTATTTTCTCTATGGTTGCAAATGCACACGATTTACCGTTACGTACATACATGTAGTCGCTCATAGTACGACTACGACAAGCCCCCAATGTAATGTGGGTATAATTCTTCAATACATGAATGTAAAGTTGTGTTCCCCATGTTGTATAACACTTAGTGAAACCCACCTATATAATACCAGACTGTGCATCAGTTGGATGCATAAACAACCAAAATGCATGGCAAACACAATCTGAGAGAAACACTATACTGTTTCAAGTTATCATGTATTTACTATACAGTACACTCCAGCTAGATCCATCATGCATGTATACTCGCTTTCTGTGCCTGGCAATGGAATTTGCCGAGGCAAGCAATAATTGATTTTCATCCATATCATATAACAATAATCCGCATGCATAAGTTGCTTTATAAGGCGGTTTAGTTGGAATTAGCGTATATTCACTAACATAATCAATCAGATCTTGGATTTTGAGGAACGAACATTGCA